TTTATCAAGTGTGCACTGCTATCCAGACCTCAGGCACATAGAGCTAACATAAGGGTCTTCGATGCTCCCCTGGGATTGTGGTTCCTCTACAATGCTATTAAAATCCTGGGTAAGGCCCTTCTTGAAGGGTGTCCTTATGGTCAATTATAGTTTTTACTTGTTCCTAAGGGTACTAAAGTTTTTCACACAATTAAGTCAAACCTCTACTTCTGAGTAAGAGGTGATTGAGGACAAGACAAAACAAATGGAAATCAATAATATTCTGAACTGTTACTAGGTGCTATTACTTTGCACAACCAGATGTGGCTATGAGCCACATTGTGAAACTATACTTTATCAAGAATTAAAGCATTGGGTCAATGTGTTTCTGGGAATGAGATACCAATAGCCAATGTAGCATTGGTAATGAGATACCAATAGCCCATGTGAAATGAGCATTCCCAGAGTTTTTTGCTGATTTTCTGAAGAAGAGTTACAGACTAATTTCACAAGAGATCTCATATCTTGGTGATCTTAAGAGGTAAGGGAACCATCTTTGTCACATAACTACAGTTTTCTGAAAGGAGTACCCATTCAATCATCCTGAATCAATTTGCACTCAATTTCCACTTATGTCCTTATTGTTTTGTTTGAAGCAGCCCATTATTCAATGTTGTCATTTACCATTCCCTTAAATGAAACCTCACAATTACCATTATTCCAAACTAAAGTGACTCAGCTCCTTTGACTTGACTGCCTACGACATAATTCACAACAGGCTGTAAAGGGAGGACTAAATACATTTTCAAAACAGGATTACAAGGAAAGCAAGCTACTCTTTGCAGAAACTGGGAATGGAATGAGACCAAAGAGAGTCTGACATCCCTATGCTAGATAGCTCTTGTGCAAATCTGCATTTTTTTTGGCATGTTTCAGAACTGCTTTGAGGTCACTCAAGGCTAAAACAAGCTTCTCTTTTCCTGAGCTAAAAAGGCACCGTGAATGTAAGTTTAGAATAAGTGCAATCACATTACAATCCTGGTTTCATGGTGAGTAAACTGCATTGTAAAAACATGACAAAAAATGAGTCTGCTGCCAAGAATTCCAATAGTGTTTCTCATTGGTAACATCTGTGGTATCAGCCTCTAATGGACACTCTGCACACGGCTGCTCTGCTTATGAAGACTTGCCATGCTTTTCTCAAAAGGTTCTTGAAGCTTATTTGGGTATATGTTATAGGCTTCTTAGAGAATGAAATAATTTAGGTTTGGGTTTTCTTATGATCAGAAGTTAGGGGTGTTGGTGATGTGATGAGTTACTTTACTTTATACTGTAAAATATAAAGTAAACTTGAATTAAGATAAAGTTTTATTTTCTTAACATTAATATAAAAATAAAATCTCGGGATCACAGTGCAAAGACAAGTTTTGTGCTGGTTTATTTCATTTGTCTCCCCCTGGCCAGTTCAGGATGTGGTGAACATTGTAAGTTAACGATTTCTCGGTCTTGGTCTTTGAGTGGTCTTATTGCTGTTCTAGCAAAGATTAACTTTTTTGAAGTACTGAAACCTTCCCTATTACCATTTGTTTACCATTTGTTTCTTAAAAATAGTAAAGAATCAGACTATTAGCATTAACCAGGTCTCTGTGTAAAAATGAGATACTTACAGTGGTTACATCACTCCATAGGATCATCATGAAAGTTCAGACTGCCTACAGCAGTAAAATGGAGTTTGGCATAGGACTTGGCTATGTAGGTTGGGCACTTAAATGTGTGCAATTTGAATCCAAGGACTTACTGTATGCATGTCATTGGTGCCATGCCTTGGATAAGTACTGAGGCTGATGAGGACATTAAAACTGAGAGTATTAGTCAAACAGAGTAAAAATGAATACAATGTACAGTGAATTAATAAATTAATGAATTTATTGATGTGTGAATAAAAATGAATAAATATTACAGTGCAGTAACACTCCAGATTGCTCGAGAGCATTCAGGCTGCCCAAGCTATCAGGCTGACCTTTTAGCATATTGAATTTTGCCCTCACAGTCCAGAAGGTTGGAGTTGTGTTAGTGGTGAGGGTTTTAATCCATCATCCAACTGCATACGCTAAAGAAAGAATTAACTGAGTTCTGTTTAATTGTTTGACAACAGCATATTTAAAGCAAGATGCTTGTGAGTGATAATCAATTGTTTTTCTGTTTCAATGAGTACCATCTTAAACAGAAAAACAACAGCACATGGTCCATCATGAGGATCGCAGTACATTATATCTTCCCTGGAACATGCAGAATAATCATGTTAATATTTCACTGTCAGAAGCCTAGATCATTTTCACCATAGATATTAATGCACCTGAGTGTCTGGCATTGCACTCCTTGTGTGGCATTTCAGGTTACCCTGCAGTGCAGTTTGGGCCCTATAGTCTAGAGATCACCAGTTCAAATCTATGCCACATCAATACTTGTCTATGACAGGGAGGGACTTGCCCAGCCACAGCGCACACCTATAGTAGTCCAACTCAAATGGGTTCAAATCTGGCCAGGGTTTCCTTGGCTTGTCATGCAACACTGACCCTTATGCCTTGTCAGGCATCTTCAAGCCTGCACTATGCTGGCCAAGTGGCCAGTACTGTAACTCTACTGCTCACAATGTGGGCTTGCAGTATTATAAAAGAAATGGGTGACAATATTGCATATTTCAGAGAGCACATGTCCTATTATGAAGACTGGTGTGGTCAGCTACACTATTAAACACACAATCCAAAAAGGGAGGAGCAAAATGGTAAAAATAATGAAGATTTCAATCTATTCATGGAAACACGGTTAAACTTCTCCACCGTCTGTTTCAGTTTTTCAACTCATTCTTTGACTAAATAAAACAGAATGGACTAGGACCTTAAAGCCACTCTATAGAATACATATAATACAGTATGCAAGAGGCAAGAATATGATAGTAACTCAGTGAAGGGGAAAAGAATGGTTTTAATATGTGCTATACAGCTGTATGCAGATTTATTCGAATACCCCATTGCTTCTTAAGTTTTAACTTCACCTGCACAATTGACATCGAGCTACTGTAACTGAAAATCCTGGAAAACAAGACATATTACTAATATTTTTCTAACCTTAATATGCTATATACACAACTACTTTCACACAGTCAGGTACAGACACAAATCATACAATGGTAGACACAAATGATCCTTAGGATGTTTTTGGACTTTTGAACCATGGAATCATGGTTCACAATAAGGGAAACAGTATTCCTGTATTCTTGAATACAGTCTATTTTGTAATTCCATCAGAGAATAATCCTATTTCAAAAAGACACTGACTTTCAGACACATACTATAAATCAACTGCATTTTTTCCTTTTATTTTTTTTCTTATTCATTCAGGTTTGTTTGATATCTAATCCTGTAAAAAATATTCTTTCTTGTCCCAGTTCAGAATTTACATGTAATCAGATTAGAAAATGAAATCCATTCTAAATATTAGGTTTGATTATCTACCTTCTAGCCTCCTCAAAGCTCATCAGTCAGAACACCTGTACAGCCCACAATCCATTTTTCTTCCTTACAGTCATTACTGGTATTGTTGTACAAGACGAAGATAATACCTAATAAAGGAACCCACAGTGCTAGATCTCTCTGTGCTTATGCATACTCTCCCTTTTGGGTCATAGTGTAACTTATTCATTTAGAATTAAATCTACATAGTCTTGTTTTGATTCATTTCTGCATGTCATTGTCAAGTGGCAACGCATTTAGGTTCTTGAGTCATCTTGAGCAAGGCTTGAGGTCAGTAAAACTATGATAATACAGTAAGTCTGCGTATCTGGCTATGTCCACTCTCTCCCAGTGTGTAAATGGTTAAAGTTCTTCAACCAGGGGGATGATTTAAGGACTATGTGAGGAAGACAGAACAGCCAGGCTGACTTACTCCTGACCCCACTGCATTCCTTACCCCCAAATATGGGCAAAAGCACTGAGTCCCTGGCCTCCCTCAGCCTGGGATGGGGCTGACGTGATTAAAGCGCTACACAGGCCTGCATGCATTCAGCCTAGAGGAGGCCTGAACACAACCCAAAACAGAAAGAATCTGTAATCTGATGTAACTGCCCAAGATGAAAGTGAGGGATTGTCAGCAACACTCTTTTCCCTTGCTTTTTGTTCTCTTATTGTTCAAACATCATTTGTTTCTTGAAAAAGACCAACAAGTAAAGTCAACAACAGACACAAAAGACATTTGGAAAAAGGTGGCTCAGAGGTAAAAAGAGAAGAAACAGACAAAGGGGCTAATTAAACAGGTTTTGAAGGGAAAATAAAACACTGAATTATTTAATTATGTTATCACAGTTATAATGTTACCTATATAAATGTACTTATTTCAAGAACAATTACTATGAATAACTGCAGCCTAGCTTCCCCCACAGAGAAGTTTTTTTTGGTTTCCAGATTCCTTTTTGCCTGTCCCTCCATATAACATAACAGGTCCTTCTTTATTTTTTACAAAGATCTTCTGGGTCCTCTTGTCTGGACTCCTGCTACAGCAGACCTGTCATTTTCTGGTGCATGGCAATGAGATTTCTAGATGATGGCAGGCTGGAGAATTCTACAGCTTTAGCATGAGATCACTTTATTTTGACTCCAGCATAGTGCGATATACAGATCCTTACCATTTTAAAATGACCCCATCCCTGCCACCTCACCCCACCAACCCCCATGGAATTCTGCTTTCTTTTCCCACAGTTCTTCTGGATATTAATAGCAACTTCCTAGTTAAAGAGCCAGCCTCTTGCGTAAGACACAAAGCTGGGTTAAAGGAATGGATTTGTTTATCTCTATTTCATTTTGTGCTTTTTGTGTTAGGTATTTATTTCTTATCTACAAGGCAGGCCAGGACTCTTCCAGGTTTTCTTGCTAACGTGTGTCTTCACTTTATCAAGGAGGAAATATTCGACTCTGCTTTTAGATCAACTACCTTAGTTCTGTTACTTTTGCTATCTGGACCCATACCTTTTGGGCTCTGCGTTGGGCTTTCAGATCCCTGCTACTGCCGTTCAGTTCCTCCTCCTTAGCTCGACTCTGATGCAAAAGATGTGCGCGTCTTTCAGAGAAGTCTTCACTGTCGCTGTCATCCTGCAGTCAAAGGTCAAGAGAACTTTACTCAACCACTCCCCTTAAAGAAATGGCTTATTTTACCCCACATGTGATCCAGGAATGTGACTCTAATGGCAATTTAAAGAAAACTTCACGAGAGGTCAAACTCTAATCTCGGCCACTTCAGCCTTCTAGAAATAAAAATCGCACATCACTTATTCATGTTTCATTTTCATATCCCTCCCCCCACCCCATCTTCACTTTAAATATAACAAAGCTTCTGATGTAAACTGATCCTACAGTACATTAAAGGTTGCAGTTTTCTTATAATTGGGGGATGCTTGTCTTCAGCCAGGTGAGTTACCCCAATTAAGCTCACTATTTGATTCAGCTTAATTGGGGTTTGAATGAACTACTGCAATAATACTTTCCATCAAAGTAAGTCCATATCTATATAGCCAGCAGCCATATCACTCTGCAACTCACAACTAGCAACCCACTGAAGCTAAGCAGGTGTGAGCCTGGTCAGTACCTGGATGGGAGACCTCCTGGGAAAAACTAAGGTTGCTGCTGGAAGAAGTGTTAGTGGGGCCAGCAGGGGGCGCTCACCCCACGGTCCATTTGGGTCCTAATGCCCCAGTATCATGACACTATAATGTAAACAGGTGCCGTCCTTCAGGTGAGGTGTAAAACCGAGGACCTGACTCTCTGTGGTCATTAAAAATCCCAGGGCGTTTCTCGAAAAGAATAGGGGTGTAACCTAAGGCCCTTACCAATCATAGTCCTCCTAACAATCCCCATCTATGAACTGGCTTCATTACTCTGCTATTCTCCCCACTGATAGCTGGTGTGTGGTGAGTGAGTATGGCTGCTGTTGTACCATCTAGGTGGGGCTGCACATTGGTGGTGGTGGAGGGGAGTCCCCATTACCTGTAAAGCGCTTTGAGTGGAGTCTCCAGAAAATGCTATATAAGTGTAAGCAATTATTAATTATTATTATTATTATATCTGTATATAAAAAATGGACTATCTAGATTTGCATTTAGACTTTTTACAATGTTGTGCAACATTTCTGGAACATCTCTTACAGTTACTTTTAAGACTGTATAAGCTGCTTACCCAAAGTCAGTTTGGTCGTTGTTTGAGTCACGGTTACTGACTTTAAAGACTAAGCCATGAATTAATTGTCTGTAGGGAAGAGCTGTTGAATATGAGGCTGTTACTGAGAGATTTAGTTACTGACAGTCAGTGAAGACACAGAGCAAAGAATGCCAGTAAATCAAGATAAGGAGATCACAGAAGCAACATGACATGCTGTAGGACGACCTTATAAACTCTGGCATAGACTGAAAATAATCTAATTATACAGCTGTTTCAAAACATATTCTTGGTCATAAAAAAAACAAGCAACAACAGAATACCAGTCTGTATACAAAACCAGTCTACAATAAGGCCATTTTTAAGTTATTTTTCTAATGTTTGCTTGATCTCTAAAAATATCTGTTCATTGTCAGATTCTATGATGTATTCAGTCCTTTCAGGAAAAGCAGGCATTTATGACCTCGTATGATGTGTTTAGATTTATACTGTAAATCAAATTGCCTTCTATAATTACATCTTCTATAATGAATTTCCATAACTGGAAAATTACTGAATAAATCAAGGATCCTGACAGGTAAGTAAAGGTATTTAGTTTTATATTCTAAGTTTATGGAAGACATTTAAGAAGATCACCATGGTGAGAACTCTGTCAACAGCAGACAACTGTTATTTGTTTGCATGCTATAACCCTTTAATACATAGTTTCATGTGATGTTTTTAAAGTCTCATGTGTGTACTCATAGGTCCCTGCTTATTCAAGTCACTTTTTCAAGTGATTTGAAATGATGTGAAATATCAAAATGACAAAATCAAGAATGTGACATTGGACAAAAATGGGGTAATTAACATTGACCACCGACCAGAAAAGCAACTCAACATCAAACCATTTTGTTCTGCATATTATGCAGATCCATCTCCACTTTGGCCTGAGGAATCAGACGGACACTCTTCTGTACTAAGAAGCCATAAGATCTGCCTACCTCAAACTCCACAGAGGGTCGAATCCTTTCTGCCTCTCCTTTAATTCTATGGACCAGATGACCGTGAGGGGTTTCTTTCACATCAGCCGAACTGCTTTGGGAATCAGAATCGCTGCTGTAAAAAAATTAAAAGATTTTTACTGAGTAGTTCCCTCAGTAAAAAAACTAGAGCTCTATTTCATGGGTGTTCGGTTCTATTTTTGCAGAGCTGTGTTACAATCGGTAATGGTGAGTTTAGCTCAGATACAATTCAGAAATAACCGAGAATTGCACACTCTAGAAAAAAAATATCAAAGTTATCTGTAAGGAAATGACACACATACAGGTGGACATTTTATATAACCAATTAATAAATTTAATTAAGGGCCCGAGCTGTGCTATTGTGGTTTCCCCAATTGTTATTGAAAATGCTAAGAACATTTCTTTGGAATCAGTTAGTCAAGAAAGAAAATAATCTAAGAAGATTTCATCTTAAAGAATGATTTAATCAAGGATGCATACACTGGGATGCAGAACAACTCACACATCCAACGCTTTGAATGGCTATGTGATAGAGTTTCAGTAGTCCACCTGGTCTGCACAAGACAAAAAATAGCTGATGGTTGGGAAAAAGGGGCATACAATTTACATTCCTTTAGCACCCAGATTCACGTTAAGGTCCATGTGTTTGTTTATCTGAAACCATTGGGATTTTTTTTACTGCAGCTGGTTTATATTGATTTCTCATCTGGCCAAGACTGCTAACTAAGCAAAATTTACAAAGGATTAAACCGCAATAAACAAAAGAAAACAACTGAACAGAGAAGAAACCAGTGCTTCTATTTTAATATGTTTTTAAGGATGTTTGTTTTAGTCCTATAAGAATTATGTAATAATATGATCATAGATCTTATGGGAAGATTGAAATATTTTCAAGGTTGGTTTTTAGGAAAGATTGCAATAGGAAAGCAAGAGTTTAATTCCATGCTGAAAAATGCACACAATGTTTCAGATTGGGAGCCTTCTTTGCACACTTTCCTATTTTCCTTTCACTTTACATTAAAATCTACTGCACGTGCTCCTTTGCATCTCAGAAGTTGAGAAAACTCCCCACTCAAACCACTTTCAAATTGTGATTGTTTAGCTATCAGGACCAATACAGCTATGCAGTAAAGGTTTAGTCAAACCAGTGAAGGATGTACAAATCTTATATGTGATACATTTATCACTGTAAGTATCAGATGTCTACACTGAAGTGGCAATATAGATGTCAGCGAGGGAGTTAGGAGCAACTGGTTGGACCCTATGTCGTGCTGAGACTATAGGTTGTTGCTAGTGATTGTTCCCGAAGGCAAAAGGCAAAAAGTAGTAGTCGAGGTAAAAGAACTAGGTCGGGTATCCAAAAGAGTCAGGTCGAGAGTATCCAAATCCAAAATGAGAAGCGAGGCAAAGTCGAAGCAGGAGGAAACAAGGTCTGGTAGCCAGAAATCAGGACGAGAGTAGTTTACGCACACAAGAGAAAGCCAAGGGTTATTCTCTATAGTGAGCGGGGACTGAGTGGAGTGAGAGGGTAGAAATAGGGAAGAGCATGAGGGATGACAATTGATTAATTGCGCGGGTGTTGGCGTTGACAGATGCTCGTAGGAATGCGGTTCGTGACAATGGAACTTGTTAAGAAAATAATCATATTTACCTGTCTGTGTTCCCTGCCACATGAACAAGTGAAGGATCTTTTTCCAGGCAGAATCGAACTGTGTGCTTTTTGCCAAACTGGTTTGAAGACTCTGAAATTACAGAGGGAAAATAACCATTGACCTCTGAAATTCACCAAACCAGATACAAAATCAAAATGACTTACAGAGAGCTGTATTGTCTCGCAAATATCCTGCCGCCATCAATGGGAACAATGGTCTTATACAGTCGACTTTGTGTCAGTGGGTCCCAGAAATGATTTATAAAAAGCAGTTGCTGTGAGTTGCTGTAGGACCCAGAAACTACAGAGCACTGTATTTCACAGTTGACAGTGTGGCACAGGTCTCTGAGCAGGAAACATTTAGCTGTCTATGATATCTGATAAAAGTAGTGAATGTTATTTGAGAACTCCTACTAGTTTTTTTAATTCAATGAACCTGCATGTTAGGCATGATGAGATCATTCCTGGATTTAAAAGCCATCATGAGGAACATGTTTCAGTGGATCTGTTTTAACACATTCGAGCATGATCACAGCCTGCAAGCCAAACTTAAAGAATGAAAGCCATAACTTTTAGATTCAATGATTATTTTCCTTCTTTTAAACACTCTGTTGTGTTCAGTACTGCACCCTGGTGGTGGAATTTGCATCAGTCCTCCACCTAAGGCCTTAGCTCCGCTGTTTGCATTGTGGGCTTGAGGTCAGGACACAAGAAGATAGAGCTGGCGCAAATCGCCTATGTGATTAACCATGGTTACACTCATCAATATAAAATAAGAAATAACTTAATCCTTAATAAATAAAAGTATCCTTGGATTCAAAATGAACATACATGACACGCAACATAAATGGCAGCACACTTTGGGGCTGTCCAATTGATAGTGGTTTTATTTTACTGTCTGTATGTGCATTTACTGTATCTGCTGAAGTTTAATCAGGAGTTAACAACAGGGAGAGCGAGTCTGTTGGCTTTTTGTTGCAATGGCATTTTCATTCGGCTCTTCTCAGTCACAGAGGGGAGCAGGGGCAAAGAATAAAGAAGGTTTCCTTTGACTGTCATTTTGGTAACTCAGACAAAAAGTGGACTCCGATCTTCCAAAATTCAGATAAAATCTGAGATTATGGTAAAAAAATGTTTCTGAATTGCCTTTTTTTCTAGCTCTGGTTTATTACACAGGCAAAGATGGATGTAGAAAGCATAGCTGAAATGGTGAGTCAAAATGTAATTCACATTATCCAATCACATGCTTATTTACAGGGGTCACACACTCCTATCTTGGCCAATGACTGGCCGTGCACAAAGCATCAGAAGATCAGAATTGATCTATTTCACCAGCCAGCTGAAACAGGGTATTTTCCCCAGTGGTGGAGCTTGATTGACCATGTGCTACCAGGGTGGGGTGATTTCCATGTCATCAGAGTTTTGGCAGCTTGCCACACAGAAGCGCACCCTTGTGGCTGGCAGAATGTGTGTGCACTTGAGATATCACTCCTAAGAGCAGCCTCAGTCTTATAAAAATGATAATAATTGCTTACACTTATATAGTGCTTTTTCTGGACACTCCACTCAAAGCGCTTTACAGGTAATGGGGACTCCCCTCCACCACCACCAATGTGCAGCCCCACCTGGATGATGCGTCGGCAGCCATAGTGCGCCAGAACGCTCACCACACATCAGCTATTAGTGGGGAGGAGAGTAATGAAGCCAATTCATAGACTTTGAATTCACTTTAACACCTCCCTGAGCTGTCTGCACTGTGTGTTCAGCATGAGAAAAAGATGGCGAAAATGACTGGGAAACTTTCACATTTCAAAGAATGCTGGTGTAATACTGTACATATTGTATAACCTACATCCAATGCACCTGTGCTGATGAGTTGGGACTAATTAACAAGTGGTGTTTCCAAAATGTTAGGGTATTTAAAAGCTTATACTGCGAGTTCCATACAAAATATACAGATGACGTTTTAAAAATGATAAGAAAAAGAAAAAATGCTGTAAAAGATATATTATAATATCTGATACAAGGTGTCACCTGTACATTTTACGATAGTTCGATCTAGTTACAATCTCAACAATGTATCTCCTTTATTCATAATGCCACGTTGATGTAATTTATTTGGTTAGAAGGAAGAGCAAAGCTCCCAATATTGCAATGTCCTGCACAAATTACTGTGTGTGCATATAGAAATAATCTGATTATGAAACTATTTTGAAAGTGTTTTATTTGTTACCAGCCCTACTTTGGAGACCATGCTAAAATTTCTACTTTTTTAGCCGATCAGTATCTCACAATTTATTTTAAGATCTACTCCGATTTGACACCTTTAAAACATAATTTCATTTTATTCAGCTCACATTGCACATTAGTGGTAATCAATTGAATTAATGTTTCTTGAAGGAACTGTCTGAGGATCATCTTCAACATCAGAGACATGGAGTTTGTTCCAGATCTAATTGCATTTTAATCTGTAATGGATACTATCTCAATGTACACTTATGATCCAAAGTCCTTGTTTTATTGCTGAGGTTGCATTACTTGTATGAGAGGTTTGAACAGGTGAATCAAATTGTTCACAAACTCCTCTGTACACATTATTCCTTCAACCTGTGTACAGCATTTCTTTGATACCAGCAATTACTCCTGAGTGAGTTTTAAACACAAATCAAATCTTCTTTAAGGATCTGTTTATTGATGTCATTTGTCGCATGTAAACACTTCCGTAGTGATGTAAATTGTGTATATTTTTTGAATGAGTGATCAAGACTGAATGGGGTTGATGCTGCATTGAGGCACTGTTCTCTAAGTGCTTTCCAGGGAAACAACTTTCTTTTTTTAGCATGCTCACCACAATTAATCCCTAATATTATAGTAAATGAGGCCTTTCTGATGGGTATAATTTTAACCCAGAATAGCTTCTGAAAAAGCCTGGAGTGGGAATCAGATTTTCTTGTTCGATGTTAAGTAGGAAGCTTGTTCTTGGCAAACTTTTTAATCACAGGACTCCCGCCTGAAGATGTTATCCGCTCGTGTATTCCAAGGGCATACTGTAGTGTATGACGTTAGAATCCAGATAAGCATCGTCATGATCAGGCACCCAAGAAAGTGCTCAGCCTGCAGCCCATCCCCCCACCACAAGCAGCAGACAAGATCACCTCCTGGAGAAAAAGAGATTCAAATGCACAAAGGAGTCCTTGG